GATACCCCTGCGAGTAGAGCATTACAGTAGTCAATTCGAGAGAATACAAATGTGTTGATCAACTTTTCTGCCACAGTTAATGATAGCAAAGGGCGTAGTCTTGCGATATTTCTAAGGTGAAAAAAAATATATTTTGACAGTATGCTGCACATTTGGGTCGAACGTTAAGCCAGAATTGTTTATAACCCCAAGTTTTTTCAATTTTCATTGAAGCTCAAGTACAGAGCCATCTACAGAAAGGGTTACAGGACTGGCTTTATGATGGGGGGTACCAATAAGCATGACTTCAGTCTTTGGCTGTAGGTCTGTGTCCTATTTCTTAAACATGTGAAGTGAGATAATATGGAATTTGGACATTTCCTTTATTTAAAAAGATGGGACTTTTCCTATACTGACACAACAGCATCCTAACTTTCCTTGTGATCTAGTGTGTAACAAACACATACAGTAAATGTATTTGCAGTACACACACATACTGATGATTTGCAGGTAGATTTTTATTCTTGCGAAATCAAAGAAACCCAGCTTTGTATTTTTACCGCAGTCTTTGAAGCACAGTGGGCCAATCTAGGACCTTCTGCTGTTTCAGAAGTGTGGTCAAGCCATAATCTAGTGTGAAACAAAGGTGAACGGCGTACTGAAAGCTTTTTTGGCGTACATCGCCTGGCTGAGGGAACAGTAACATGACAGGTAGATTTTGGCTGCCAAGACACCCTGGACCCCTCTTCAGATGATGGGGCGGAGGGAGAGGTGTGAGTGAAAATGTGCAAATTGTGCTCTGAAGGCAAGATATTTATACGAAGGAGATCAGAAATGTTTGAGATTAGGGTTTGACTTCCTCCCCAAATTTTGCTAATGTTAAATTCCATACACAGTAAATGATTTTGCTAGAATGATCAGAAATAGAACAGAAGTAGAAATTAATAACATTTGATTCAAAACAATTCTTCAAAATGTCTAACATTTTTACCATGTGCACATGTTATAAAAACTTACTTGCTCCATAACTACTTATATCACACCCAGTAAAACTATTCAGGTATCATAATCCCCCTGTTTGTTTTTTTTACCTTGTCTTCTCCCTTGCTTGGAAAGATAAAGAAAAAACAACTCATATCAAAATTTCAAAATGTACATTTTTTGTCAGAGCAAGTTATGAGACAGATTGGAGGAAAGTGCACTAGTAAAACAGCTTCATACTTACACCTGTGTGTACAGTGGTCACGGATCGGAGCCAAGCTATTACGGGTGAGAGCCATCTCGCGTAATTTCAATCTCTCCACTGGAAGTTGGTGTGTAGTTTGTGCTAGGAAAAAGAAATAGATTTGGTCAATGATGACATTGTCATAATGGTCACAAGTAAGGTGGTTGTGAGTATATTACACAAAGGGATATGTTCTGAAGAAGAAAATCTTTACTGTAAGAGTTATAATGTTGAGGAATAGGACTTTGAGCATTCTTTGAGACAGATCTGGCTGAACAGCCAAGTCTGGTTAGTAAATGCCTTGCATATGCATAAAATGGCAAGAGTTATACATGCGATCCGAAAATCTACACTAAAAGGCAAAAACAATATTGTTCCTTTAATAATCAAGGAAGATATTGAGACAGTGGAAATCAAACAATGAAACACTTGCAGTAAATCAAATATAATGAAACAATATGAAGACAACTAAAAAAGCATTGGTAGAATCTAGTAAGAACAGGTTTTCAACATTGTGGTACAACTGATAAATAATCTAATAGGATTTGGATTACCTGCAGTTTGTATTTTTTAAAACAAAAAATTAATGAATAAATGGACCACTCTTTTCTTGTTTGTTTGTTCTGTGGCAACAAAATGCAACTCTAATATGTAATCATAATTAATCCTTCTCAGTTTTTTTTTTCACCACCTTTTACTCTGGATTATGCTGTTTAATAAATGAAGTGATTTTCATCCTATCCAAATGGAAAAATATAGAGCTTTACTTATTCTGAAAGTAATTTTTTTTCTGTAGTTTTATATAGATACATGCAGATATAAAGCCAGATAGGAAACAATACTGAAAATGTGCATCACTACCTTTGTTTCATAAAAATAGTACTACCATTTATACCATTGGGAATCAAGTAAATAATGGCTTTTGTAAGATGTAAAAATGAGAAGGTAATTATAAGGGCCGATGTCCTTCAGATGTATACCAAGTATCCACTCAGTAAGTTTAGATTATCTTCACTGGAAAACAAAGGTATCATTTTAACTTTCTAACTGCAAGACTGACATTCAAGCAAGGCTCAGAACAAATGCTTAGAGGTGTGACATTTTCCTTTGAGATAGCTTTTCTTCACAGGATGTGGTTTATTGCATTATCTTAATTATCTTGAAAAATAATACCTTTTGCAACTAATTCTAAGCATGGCCACAAAAAAACAAAACAACTGTAAAATAATTTGAAAACGGACAGCAAATGGTGAAGAATGCCTTCAACAGATCACAAACACAGTGCTGAAAAACATTTACAGTAAATGCGTTTTGTAATACACTTAAGGTGAATATTAATATTTATGCTACTTTTATGTCTGATAATGCATGGGTTTATGAATATGCCTTTAAGGCTTGGGAAAATGTGAGGATTTGACTTTGTGACACTATGCATTTTAAAAGTTCTGCACTGCCTGAATTCAACACACACAATCTTTTAAGTTTCCCACAGCTATTATTTGTGCTGTGCAGTAGCTCCTTTGTGAGAGATTTGTGTGTATGTAATAATTCAGGACCTGTATATCAAAATGCATATGAAGTTTTTGTTTTGTAATAGATTAATATTTTTTGTTTTGTTTTCATGATAAGAGAATGCTGGGTTATATTAGTTGGATAAACTGCACAGTGTCTTGCAGAAGTATTTACCCCCTTCCCATGGTATCTGAATTACCAATAATATATACAGTATATACATCTGGAAGGTTTAGTCTCATGGTGAGGCAGCACTAGTATCTGCAAAGGTTTAGTCCTATGGTGAGGCAGCACTAGTACCTGTAAAGGTTTAGTCTCATGGTGAAGCAGCACTAGTATCTGGAAGGTTTAGTGTTGTGGTGAGACAGTGCTAATGTCTGGAAGGTTTACAGTAGTCTAATGGTGAGGCTGCCAGATTTCTGGAAGGTTTCATGTTGTGGTAAGGCAGCACTATTTTGTTTTAAGGTTTAGTCTCATGGTGAGGCAGAATTATCAGTTAAAGGTACAGTCACGATGAGACATTAATAAAAAGAACAAATTAATGCCGCTGTGTCTGGGGCAGTATTATTGCTGTTCAAGAAGCATTCCTGGCCAAACAGGATCTGCTGGAAGATTAGGTTTGAGATGCAGACTGAAAGGGGAAAGTGAAAGCAAGTTAGGGATCATACTTGGGCTGGGAAGGATAACATTAGGGCTGGTCTGGCCTCAGCCCAAGTTCCTCCCTTCCCAGTATTAAACAGGAGTATAATACCACAGCCAGATCTTACTCATAATTATTTATTGTATTCCTCTGAATACCTAAAAACAATATTAAGAATCATTAAATATTTAAGGTATAGCGGAAAGTATGTGTAAATGTATAAGTATGTACCAGTATATGCACACTGGTAATTAACAAAACAAAATATTGTGCCATTTGTGTAAGTCAGTGCATATCAGACCAGTAATGCAATATTGATTCTAAGGTACTTGTTTGGTAAAGCCAAACCCATGGTTCCTGTGGTATTGTTAGTCAAAATACTATGATTTTCAGCCTGAACTTTAGGGGAAGATTTTTAGAAAGACAAGCTTGTCCCTCCTCTTTGTATTTTAAATATACAATAATTGTATTGGTTCAAAGTTACATTAATATATTAATGTTTCTTCTAAAATGAGAAACTTTGGGTTTTGGATACATTATAAATAAACCACTTTTCACGGATGTCAGAAAGGACAAACCGCGGAATGGCAGGAGAGCAAAAAGACCCTATGCTTAGCAGCGAGACGGGGGTTAGCGCGGGCTCAGCTGTTCAGGGAATGCCATATAGAAACCTATGCCCTCAGGTAGCGAAACGTGGGGCGACCTGGTGCTAGGCGGGTCTCAAGACATCCGAACGAAAATGCTGAGCGAGAAGCAGAGCAGAAGCAGGAAATAAATAGGCTACACAACAAGACACACCAGAAAGACAAGAATAATCACAGGGAACTAGGAACAGGAGGAAAGTAGAGCGCCCTCTAGGTGTACTAGGCGTGACACCATTCATTACTTTTCCAAGATATAAGAGCATATTTAAAGTGCCATGAAACCTACAAAAACCACTGAGGTAATGGGAAATGTGTTTGTAGTTTGAGTCCTAAATGCTCACCTGTGTCAATAGCAGGAGTATTATTTTTCAGTCAAATGAACTTGCTGAACACATCATTTGAAAATAAAGTGCACTGATGCACAATGAAAATACAACAGCTCCTTGTTATAACGTAATTAGCTTAAGGTACTGTATGTTTAATGTCAATAATGTCAAGAATTCAGTGTTGGATATATTTGGAATTGAGTTGAATTGTCAAGTTAATTAAGAATCTGTATAAATAGACATTCAAAAAATGCAATTTTAATTAGCACAGGAATAGTGAAAGTTTTGACCAGCTCTCTCTTAAGTAGCTATGGTAGAATGAGATATTCTGCTTCAATAATCAGCAGACTAGTAAAGTAAAAACGGGAAAGTGGCACTGTGAGGGATAGACCACATCCTGGAAGGTTGTACATCATCACACCTACGTCTGGATTGTCACGTCCTTCTGACCCACCAGTATGATCACTTTCAGACTGCAGTGACTACAACACAAGCTATCCCAGGACAAAATTACCTGTTTGTCAGCACAGCTACTGACGTTCGAGGCCTGCATGAAAATAAAAGTGGATGCTCAGAGGATGTTTAGGTGTAATGTTGATACCTGAGGGGAAAACAATCTTGCTTTCTGTTGCCAGAGAAAAGGCAAGTTAGCAAAGTTATGTGTGATGGAGTTTTATCCACTGATGAATGTCACTTTACTCTGGACAGGATACAATATAAAATATGTTGAGATATTATATTGACCCA